ACATTAACATGATTGTTTATCAAATACCATTTTAGCCCAATGGTAAAACAGTGGAATTAAAATTAAAAAAAATAAAGAGATCAAGTGAATATGAACTAGTATTTTTAACTAATTTATTTTTTGATTTTTTGGATTTTTCGGATTTTTCCGATTTTTCGAATTTTTGGATCTTTGGATTTTCTGGATTTTCTGGATTCTCTGGATATTCTGGATTTTTTAATGTATTCAATTTTTTGGATTTTTGGAATTGTCGGATTTCTTGAATTTCTTGGATTTTTGTTTTGTGTTTTTCAATTTTTAGATTTTTTTATTTTTGGGATACTTTCAATTTTTTGAAATTTTAGAATTAATAGAGTTGAGTCCTTTAGGTATTTTGGATTTTTTAAATCGATTGATTTTTTTTTTCGTTTTGGATAGTTTCGATTTTTTGTATCATTACATTTCTTGAATTTCTTGCATTCCTTGGAAATTTTTGAATTGATTCTTTAGACTTTTTTGTCTTTTTAGGGGTTTTAAATTTTTTGAATTTTGTCAGAATCTTTAGTTTGGATTTTTCGAATTACTTGGATAACTTGGATTCCTTGGGTTCTCTGAATTCTCGGGATTTCTTGGATTCTTCGGATTTTTTTTTATTTTTGGGATATTTTAGATTTTTTAAATTTTTATAATTATTAGGATTCTTTGGATTCTTTGGATCCTTTGGATTCTTTGTTTTCTTCGTTTTCTTTGGATTATGGATTCTTCGAATTTTTTTTTGGATGTGTTCCATTTTTTCGATTATTTCAATAATTTTTGAGTTCTTTAGGTTTTTTGGATTTTTAAATTGATATATTATGTTTCATTTTTGGACATTTTCAATTTTTTGGATCATTACATTTCTTGAATTTTTTGCATTCTTAGAAATTTTTGAAATTCTTTGCTTTTCGAATTTTTGGATTTTTTTGAATTGATTCTTTAAACTTTTTAGTCTTTTTAGGGGTTTTAAATTTTTTGAATTTTTTCTTTTATCTTCTTTCTATATAGTTTCTTTGGATTTTTCGAATTACTCGGATAACTTGAATTTCTTGGATTCTCTGGATTCTTCGGATTCTTAGGATTTTTTTATTTTTGGGATATTTTAGATTTTTTGAATTTTCATAATTATTATGGGGTTGTGTTTTTTTTTAGGATTTTTGGAGTTTTAAATTTCTTTAATTTTTGAGGTTTTTTGGAAATTTTCGATTTTTTGGATCATTGGATTTCTTGAATTTCTTGCATTTGTTGTAAATTTTTGGAATATTTTGCTTTTCAATTTTTTTCATTATTTTGTTTTTTTTTGGATTTTTTGGATTTCTTGGATTCTTTGGATTCCTTGGATTCTTTCAACTATTTAGTCATTTTAGACTTTTTTGGTTTTTGGATTTTCTGGATTTTCTTGGAATCTTTATTTCTTTCTTTGGATCCTTTGGATTCTTTGGATCCTTTGGATTCTTTGTTTTCTTTGTTTTCTTTGTTTTCTTTGGATTTTGGATTCTTTGAAATATTTTTTGGATGTGTTCCATTTTTTCGATCATCTGAATAATTTTTGAGTTCTTTAGGTTTTTTGGATTTTTTAAATTGATTGTTTTTTTTTCATTTTTGGACATTTTCGATTGTTTGGATTACATTTCTTGAATTTCTTGCATTCCTTGGAAATTTTTGAAATTCTTTACTTTTCGAATTTTTGAATTTTTTTGAATTGATTCTTTAAAACTTTTTAGTCTTTTTAGCGGTTTCAAATTTTTTTATTTTTTTCAGAATCTTTAGTTTCTTTGGATTCTTCGAATTACTTGGATAACTTGGATTCCTTGGATTCTCTGGATTCTCTGAATTCTCTGGAATCTCGGGGTTTCTTGGATTCTTCAGATTCTTCGGATTTTTTTTTATTTTTGGGATATTTTAGATTTTTTGAATTTTGTGTAATTATTAGATTGAGTTTATTAGGATTTTTTAAGTTTTTTATTTCTTTGATTTTTGGATTTTTTTAAATTGATTTTTTTTCATTTTTGGACATTTTCGATTTTTTGGATCATTACATTTCTTGAATTTCTTGCATTCCTTGGAAATTTTTGAAATTCTTTGCTTTTCGAATTTTTGGATTTTTTTGAATTGATTCTTTAAACTTGTTAGTCTTTTTAGGGGTTTTAAATTTTTTGAATTTTTTCAGAATCTTTAGTTTCTTTGGATTCTTCGAATTACTTGGACAACTTGGATTCCTTGGATTCTCTGAATTCTCTGGATTTTTTTTTATCTTTGGGATATTTTAGATTTTTTGAATTTTCATAATTATTAGGGGGTTGCGTTTTTTAGGATTTTTGGAGTTATTAAATTTTTTTTTTTTTGGTAATTTTTGATTTTTTAGATCATTGGATTTCTTGAATTTCTTGCATTTGTTGTAAATTTTTGAAATTTTTTGCTTTTCAATTTTTTTCATTTTTTTTTTTTTTGGATTTTTTGGATTTCTTCGATTCTTTCAACTTTTTGTTCATTTTGGACTTTTTTTGGTTTTTGGATTTTCTGAATTTTTTTGGAATCTTTAGTTTGTTTCTTTGGATTTTTTGGATTCTTTGGATCCTTTGGATTCTTTGATTTTTCGATTATTTGAATAATTTTAATTACTTATTTCGTTTTTATTTTTTGACTTTTGGTTTTTTGGATTTTTAGGATATTTCCAATTTTTTGTATCTTTGGAATTACTGGATTCTCGAGTTTTTTGGAGATTCTTGGATATTTTGGATTTCCTGAATTTCTTGAGTTTTTGGATTTCTTTTGGATTGTGTGGATTTTTTGGGTTTTCTGTGATTTTTTAATTTTTTTATATTTCTGTTATTTAGAATTATTATAGGGTTAGTTTTTAAGTATTTTTGATTATTTTTAAATTCTTTGATTTTCGGATTTTTTTGGAAGTTTTCGATTTTTTTGGATCATTGGATTTCTTGAATTTCTTGCATTTGTTGTAAAATTTTTCTTTTTTTTTTTTCGATTTTTTTCATTTTTTTTGGATTTTTTGGATTTATTTTGGATTCTTTGGGTTCCTTCGATTCTTTCAACTTCTTGGACATTTTAGACTTTTTTCCTTTTTGGATTATTTGGATTCTTTGGATTCTTTGGATCCTTTGGATTCTTTGGATCCTTTGGATTCTTTGGATTCTTTGTATTTGTTTTGTATCTGTTCCATTTTTTTCGATTATTTCAATCATTTTTATTATTTGGTTTTTTATTTTTTGAATTTTTGAGTTTTTGGTTTTTTAGGATATTTTCCAATTTTTTTTATTTTTGGGCACTAGATTCTCTAGTTTTTTTGAGTTTCTTAGATTTCTTGGATTTCCTTAGTTTCTTGAGTTTTTGGATTTCTTTCGGATTTTTTGCGTTTTTTTGCTTCTCTTTTTTTCATTTTGTGATTTTTTTGGATTTTTTTTATATTTGGTTATTTTAAATTTCTTTATTCTTAGAGATTTTTTAAATTCTTTGATTTTTGGGATTTTTTGAAATTTTCGATTTTTTTGCATTGGATTTCTTGAAGTTCTTGCATTTATTGGAAATTTTTGAATTTTTTTTTTCGATTTTTTTCATTTTTTTTTAATTTTTTGGATTTTTTGCATTCAATGAATTCTTCCCTCGTTTCTTGGAACTTTTTAGACATTTTAAACTTTTTGCTTTCTGGATTCTTTGGATTCTTTCGATTCTTTCGATTCTTTGAATTCCTTGGATTCTTTGAATTCTTTTGATTCTTTGGATACTTCGGATTTTTTTTGGATCTGTTCCGCTTTTTCGATTGTATGAATTATTTTTATTATTCGATTTTTAATTTTTTGGCTTCTTGGGTCTTTTGGAATTTTAGGATATTTCCAATTTTTTGGATTTATAGAATTACTGGATTCTCAAGTTTTTTTTTTGTTTCTTGGATTTCTTGGATTTCTTGGATCTCTTTTGGATTCTATGGATATTTTAGATTTGTTTTTTTATTTTATCATTATAGGGTTGTTTTTTGAATTTTTTAAATTCTTTGATTTTTGAAAATTTTCGATTTTTTTGAATCATTGGATTTCTTAAACTTCTTGCATTGCATTGTTTTTTTAATTTTTTAGATTTTTTGGATTTCTTTTGGATTATATGAATTATTCGGATTCCTTCGATTCTTTCAACTTTTTAGACCTTTTAGAGTTTTTTTCCTTTGTGGATTTTTTGGATTTATTTGGAATCTTTAGGTTCTTTGGATTCTTTGGATCCTTGAATTCTTTAGATTCTTTGGATTCTTTGGATTCTTTGGATTTTTTGGATTCTTTGGATTCTTTGGAAGCTGTGAATTCTGTGGATTCTTTGGATTCCATAGATTCCTTGGATTTAATGAATTCTTTCGATTGTTTCGATCCTTTGGTTTCTTTGGATTTTTCGATTATTTGAAAAATTTTTATTATTCGGTTTTTTATTTTGAGTTTTTGCGTTTTTTGGATTTTTGGAATTGTTATAGGCTTTTATTTTTTTGGATATCTTGAACTTCTTGCATTTGTTGAAAATTTCTAGAATTTATTGTTTTCGATTTGTTTCAATTTTTCGAATTTTTTGCATTTTATGGATTCTTTGGATTCCTTCGATTCTTTCAACATTTTAGACATTTTAGAATTCATTGTTTTTTGGATTCTCGATTTTTTTTTATGTTTTAGATTTCTTGGATTTCCTGAATTTCTTAGATTTTTGGGTTTCTTTGGGATTGTTTGGATTAATGAACCTTTTGGATATTTTAGACTTTTTACACTTTTTGAATTTTTTCATCTTTTCGGACTTCTTGTACTTCTAGATTTTTGGATCATTGAATGTCTTAAATTTCTTGCATTTCTTTTTTGATTCTAATACTTTTTGTTTTCTCTGAATTCTTTGGATTTTTTTTTGGATTTATTTCGTTTCTTAGATTATCATTAGATTATTGGAATTAGTGGATTTTCGAATTTTTGGATTTTTTAAACTTTTTGAACTAAATACAGTTTAAGTCAATCGTATATTTTTTTAAATAAATAAATACAAAATATTAATTTAATAATTTAAACATCCGCACTAAATTACTTACAATACATATACAACTAATTTCTTGTTTTATACCCAAACTAGATCATCAATAGGTACAACTCAAACAATATAATCCTACCACATACATAAATAATATCACATATTCACTCGGCACCATTTCAGTACCAACAACGAGACCAAAAAACCCCTACTGGAAAGTTTTAACAATACCGGCAATGGCAGACTTCGACCCAAAAACGCACGCCAGTCCTGCCATAAATACAATAACCACATGCTTCCCCAACTTCCAATTAAACCTACCAAAACCGTCGTCCCAAAACACCAAAATTTCGATAACCACAGGACACATGAGTCCCAGAATGGAGAAACAAAAAGCACCAATAAGCGACACGAAGGGCACGATTTCGGGAACAAGGACAGCGATGATGATGTTAATCATCACTAGAACCGTCCTTAGGGCGTAATTGGCCAGTTTTTCCTTGGAAGCGTATCGATGTTTAACTTCGTTCCAGAAGATGTCGAGACAGACGTAGAAGACTAAACCGTAGGTGAAAAAGACTGACAGACCGATGAGCAGGTTCACCGCTTGAGCAGCACTGGAAAAGAATGTTTTTGTGAAAACAAAAATAGAAATAAAAATTGTGAGGTCTTACTATTCTTCCTTTGGGAGATTCAGCGTGATTGAGTCTGCTGTGGCTTCTCCGTACTTGAGGTAGCCCAAGAAACCCAGCATTACGTAGATGATGGTCACAAACGTCATACCTTGGTTCAACACGCCAAAAATTCCGACGAACTTTTGTGGTGATTTCATGTTGTTTTCTAGAGGCATGACCTAGAAATGTACTTGTTATTACAAATTGTGATTATAGTGCTAGTACTAGTACCACTCCAATTGCTTCTATTGCAAAGATGACGATACTTATACAAATGGGTAACGACGAAAAATTTGCAACTGCTGGTCTTTCGGATAGGGATGGTATGTCAGTCAGGAGGTAGTAGCCGGTGATTCCAAGACCCACAGTCATGCAGACGTTGGCCACCATGGAGACCGGTGCCAAAGACTTCAAATTAGGCACATACGCGATACACAAAAATGGTAGAAAAAGTAGAGCCACCGAGATTCTTTTATCATAAGTCCCTATATAGTTAAAGGCCACGTAGTTGAAATTTTCGGCTACAATAACAGCATAGCAACTCCCAGTGGCAAAATACGTGACGAAGATACCCCATAGAACAATCTGCCTAGAATTCAGAAAATAGTACCAGAATGACGCACTTTCAAGTTTCTTACTTTGCCACAAATCCATATTTCCTACTCCATGGAGGACCCCTCAAGCACGCCTCTTCAGCAACTTCCGCGTACGTCATGGTAGTTTTGCCCGCCTTCTTGTACAAAACATGGGCACAAATAACCAAATTGTAAGCACAGTAGGTGCAAATTATGGACACTAAGATGGTCGCAAACACGCCCATCCACAACCCAGACGCTTTGAAAGCAGCCGGCATGGACAAAATCCCGGTACCCAAAGACGACTTCAACAGATGGGTCAGTGTCCCACCGCTCCTAAACACAAAACAATATAATGAAAGTTCTTGTTGCTGAGTCGCGCTACGTACGATACAGGGTGTTCAAGATGTCTGGTTTTGAACGGGTCAAAGTCTTCCGGTGTCGTGTCCACGTTTTTGGCGTTGTCTGGAATGTCGACTTTGATTGGAAGGGGAGAGGCTCTGGAAAAATCGTATTAGTTAATTTTGAGTTTTTCTTTTGGAAAAAGCATGCATTTGTATTCAAAATGGAGTAAAATTAGCATGCAAGGGTTTTTAAGTTTCTTGGATTTCCTGCGTTTCTTGAGTTTTTGGATTTCTTTTGGATTGTATGGATATTTTAGATTTTTTGGGTTCTTTGTTTCTTTTTTTTCGTTTTGTGATTTTTTTTGTATTTTTTTTATACTGGAGATATTTAAAATTTTTTGGATTTTAATCATTGGATTTCTTGAACTTCTTGCATTTATTCGAAATTTTTGGAATTCTTTTCATTTTTGTTTACATTTTTTGGATTTTTCGGATTTTTTGGATTTTTTGGATTCTGTGGATTCTTTGGATTCTTTCGATTTTTTTCTAGATTGTTCCACTTTTTCGATTATCTGATTTATTTTTATTATTCGGTTTTTTATTTTTTGACTTTTTGGGTTTTTTGGATATTTCCAATTTTTTGGATTTTTAGGATTACTGGATTTTCGAGTTTCTTTTTGGATTGTGTGGATATTTTAATTTTTTTTTTTTATTTTATTATTATAGAGTTGAGTCTTTTGGATTTTTTGGATTTTTTGGATTCTATGGATTCTTTGGATTCCTTCGAGTCTTTCAACTTTTTAGATTTTTCAGACTTTTTGCTTTTTCAATTCGTTCGATTCTTTCGATCTTTTCGATTCTTTCGATTCTTGCGATCCTTTCGATTCTTTCGATTCTTTCGATTCTTTGATTCTTTGCATTCTTTGCATTCTTTGGATTCCTTAGATTCCCTGGATTCTTTGGATTCTTTCGATTTTTTTCTAGATTGTTTCACTTTTTCGATTATCTGATTTATTTTTATTAGTCGGTTTTTTATTTTTTGACTTTTTGGGTTTTTTGGATATTTCCAATTTTTTGGATTTCTATGATTACTGGATTCTCGAGTTTTTTTGAGTTTCTAGGATTTCTTAGATTTCTTTTTGGATTGTGTGGATATTTTAGATTTTTTTTTTATTTTATTATTATAGAGTTGAGTTTTTTGGATTTTTTAAATTTTTTGATTTTTGGAAATTTTCGATTTTTTTGAATTATTGGATTTCTTAAACTTCTTGCTTTGTTGCAAATTTTTGGAATTTTTTGCTTTTCGAATTATTTCGTTTTTTAAATTTTTGGATTCTTTAACTTCTTTGGATTCTTCGGACTCTTTGAATTCTTTGGATTCTTTGCATTCTTTGAATTCTTTCGGTTCTTTGGATTCTTTGGATTCTTTGGATTCTTTGGATTCTTTGGATTCTTTGGATTCTTTGGATTCTTTGGATTCTTTGGATTCTTGGGATTCTTGGGATTCTTTGTATTCTTTGGATTCTTTGGATTCTTTGGATTCTCTAGATTCTCTAGATTCTTTACAATCTTTGGATTCTTTGGATTCTTTGGATTCGTTGGATTCGTTGGATTCGTTGGATTCGTTGGATTCTGTGGATTATGCGGATTCTGTGGATTCTCTAGATTATTTGGATTCTTTGGATTCTTTGGATTCTTTGTATTTTTTTGTATCTGTTCCATTTTTTTCGATTATTTCAATGATTTTTATTATTTGGTGTTTTAATTTTTGAATTTTTGGGTTTTTGGTTTTTTAAGATATTTTCCAATTTTTTTGATTTTTGGGCCCTGGATTCTCGAGTTTTTTTGAGTTTCTTGGATTTCTTGGATTTCCTTAGTTTCTTGAGTTTTTGGATTTCTTTCGGATTTTTTGCGTTTTTTGCTTGTCTTTTTTTTTTCATTTTGTGATTTTTTTTTGAATTTTTTTTATATTGGGTTGTTTCAAATTTTTTTGATTCTTAGAGTTATTATAGGGTTGAGTTTTCAGAATTTTTGGATTTTTTAAATTCTTTGATTTTATGGGATTTTTTGGAAATTTTTAGAATTTTTTGCTTTTCCAATTTTTCAGTTTTTTTTTCATTTTTTTTTATTTTTGGATTTTTTTTTAATCCTATTGATTCTTCTTACTCCTTGGATTCTTTCGATTCTTTAAACTTTTTAGACATTTTATACTTTTTCGCTTTTTGGATTTTTTGGATTTTTTTGGAATCTTTAGTTTCTTTGGGTTCTTCCTATTCTCTGGATTCTTTGGATTCTTTGGATTCGTTGATGGATTGATTCCGTTTTTGCAATTATTTAAATAATTTATATTATGTATTTCATTTTTTTTATTTTTTGTTTTTTGGATGTTCAGGATATTTCCAATTTTTGGATTTTCGGAATTACTGATTCTCGAGTACTTTTGAATTTCCTGAATTACTTGGATTTTTTTACTTTTTTGGAAATTTTTGTTTTTCAGATTTTTTAGATTTTTTTTTGATCCTATGAATTCTTTGGATTCCTTTGATTCTTTGAATTCCTTCGAGTCTTTGAATAGTTTCGAGTTTCTGTATTTTTTGAATTTTTTCTATTTTTTGGTTTCTTTGGATTTTTCTTGAATCTCGTGCATATTTTGGAAATTTTTTAGAATTATTTGTTTTGCGATTTTTTAATGTTTTAAATTCCTTGGATTTTTTTGGATTTTGTTGGTATCCATGGAGTCTTTGGATTCTTTCGATTTATTCGATTCTTTCAACTTTAGAGACATTTTAAACTTTTTTGTTTTTTGGATTTTTTGCATTTTTAAATTTTTTTGGAATCTTTGGTTTCTTTGAATTTTTTGGTTTCTTTGGATTTTTTTTTGGTTCTGTTCCATTTTTTTCGATTATTTCAATAATTTTTATTATTTGGTTCTTTATTTTATGACTTTTTGGATTTTTGGATTCTGGATTTTCGAGTTTTTTTGAGTTTCTTGGATTTCCTTAGTTTCTTGAGTTTTTGAATTTCTTTCGGATTGTATGGATATTTTAGATTTTTTGGGGTTTTCGTTTCTTTTCTTTCATTTTGTGATTTTTTTGGATTTTTTTTTTTTTATATTGAGATATTTTAAATTTTTTGGATTCTTAGAGTTATTATAGGGTTGAGTTTTAAAGATTTTTGGATTTTTTAAATTTTGATTTTTGGGATTTTTTGGAAATTTTCGATTTTTTTGAATCATTGGATTTCTTGAACTTCTTGCATTTATTGGAAATTTTTGGAGTTTTTTGCTTTCCGACTTTTGGATTTTTTGGATTTATTGGAAGGGGAGAGGCTCTGGAAAAATCGTATTAGTTAATTTTGAGTTTTTCTTTTGGAAAAAGCATGCATTTGTAATCAAAATGGAGTAAAATTAGCATGCAAGGGTTGAAATTTGATACCTAATGTAGCCAAATTTTGGTGGAGGTATATAACAATCGTAAACAGTTCCATAATATCTGGGGGTTGCTTTAGTTGAAAGCAAATATTGTTTTAGGTTGGCTTCGTACGAACAACCCATGTAATAATTTCTATAACAAGGGATAGCGTTAAACATAGAAGACAGACAGTGATGGGTGGTGTGAGGGTGGTACTTACGGGGTGGATGAAACTGAGTGGAGGTAAGCTGGTTGGCTGTGGGGGAGGAATGTTTCCAGCTCCCTTGTGTCATATTGGAGAACTTTGGCAGTCTAAAAATACAAGAACGAAATTTTATATCAGTCATATTACATAAATCATTTAAATGCAGCTAATAAAAATATTTGTCGTGCTATTTTATTTATCGCGATCTATTTATTGCAAGAAATGCGGCCATAAATGTCTACACCGTTCCATAACATTCCAATAAAATTGCTATTATTAGCGATATAATTATTATATTACAGAAATTAAAAATATTTATCTATATGTCCCTATTACGTCGTAAAGATCTCATCCCTGATAAGTCTACATGATGCAATACAGATGTTCCTTCCATCATTGTTGCCATTAGAGAAACCCAAAACACAACGGGTAATTTTGATTCTCCGACGAGTCAAAACATTGATAAGATAAGCGCACAAAAGGCCTTTCATTACCATTCTCAGTATGACTTTTTTAGACTCGCATTTAAACACTGAGAAAAATCTCACTTAATCGAAATGGGAAGCCCAAATTCCCGAGTCGCTTGACCCAAGTCACGTGCAGCTCGTGATTTTTGTGTTTATTTTTTGTGTTATCGTCAACGGTGTTGTGTTTGATTTTTTATTGTAGTGTCACCGTCGTACGATTATCCTGAAAATCCGGACGTTTTTATAAATAGACCCAAAACAATAACAAAATTGACGTTTGGGTCTATTTTTAGATGCGAGATTTTGAACTTCGTGCACGTGAACTGGCTATGATTAATTGCAAAATTCTGAAATGGCTTTGTTGTACAATAACCCAGTGGAGCAGAGGGCAGGAAGTCGACATTGTTTGTAAACAATTGGGCGATAAAAGTGATTTGTGGTTGACGCGGCGTGTTTATCTTTTCTGGGTTTCGAAAATGTAACCCAGTTATAGGTGGTTTGGAATTTTGGTTTGTGTGGCTATTCTTAGTTTTTTTTTTGGATATTTTTGGGTATTGATGACGTTTAATTATAATCAAGCAAGCGATGGCGACTTATTTTAATCTTGTGTTTGGTAAAAGTGGCGTGCCAAGATGACCTTTGATAGAGAAAAGTGTATTTCCGCGTATTTTAGTGATTTTGTTTTATGTTTGTTGATTAGTTATTCTATTTGTTTTGGATTGCGTTAACACTTTCATCAAATAGCTATTATGGTTATTGATGTTTCACAATGAAAGAGTTTGGAAATTTTGTGGTAGACCTGTTTCCTTCAAAACGAGCAAATCTTTTTCTAGGAGTACTTTTGAAGCGATGGCAAATGCAATTTTTATTTAAGTTAGATTTGGAAAAAAATCTCGTGGGTTTTGGGTTACCCAAAGTTCCGTTTATTTTTGAGGAAAAATAAAAACGTTTTTACGATTTATTTACTCATTTTCTAATTCCAATGATTGTTTTTTTAATTTTAACTCCAAAATTTTTTTAAAAATTACAACAATTTTTTTCGTAATCCTTATAAGACCAAATTCTATTTCCTAATTTGTTTCAAGAATAAACAGATCTTCATTAAATTCAGCGTAATTTCTAAAAAAAAATACAACTTTAATATTCTTCAGACTATGAAACTATTTTCAAAGTTTCAAAATGCAAAAGACTCCATTAAGGGAAATATATTTTTTTAAATTATGATGGTACGACATTTATTTTTTCGAAATTTTTGAAGACAGAGTTCACAAAATGGGAATGAATTTACTCCAAAGACAAAAGACAGTTCTCAGACCTCATTTTTTTCAGGTAAAGGTGCGGAAATGAAAATTCTTGAAACTATGTGTTTTTGAATGAATGATTCTCATAACACATTTTTTTTTGTAAATTTTCTAACAGACTCAGTATTTTCTTGACAAGCAGACAAGAAATGTAATTTTTTTGTTTTGGATGTGTGATAAATAAAAATTACGATAATATTTCACTCAATTTTGAAAGTACAAATTTTGAACATCTCTTGTCGCGTTTAATTACGAAATTTGTTAAATTTTTAACGAATTCAGCAGGCATTTTTTAAAGGAAAATAATTAATAATAGTTTAAGTTTACAAATCTTATTAATTTTTTTTTTTTTTTTGTTATTCTGTTAAGAGCCAATTTCATTTCTTACTTTCTTTAAAAAATAAACAGGTCTCCATTAAATTCAGCGTTATTTCGAAAAAATTAACTTTAGTGTACTTCTAAGTCATTTTTTAAGTCCAAATTCCACTGAGAGATTCTTGTTATTTTGCGGTGAATATATAAAAAAAATTACAACTTCAATATTTTCAGACTTTGAAACTATTTTCAGAGTTTAAAAATACATCGTTCTCTTAAGAAAATTGCTAAGAAAGTCCTAATAGCAGCTAAATTTATTTCGTAATTTATTTCAAGAATACAAAAGACTCCAATTAAGGGAAATATTTTTTTTAATTTTATAATGGTGCGACAATTATTTTTTCGAAATTTTTGAGGACACAGTTCACAAAATGGGAACGAATTCACTACAAAGACAAAAAAGATTTCTCAGACCTCAATTATTTTCAAGAAAAGGTGTGAAAAAAGAAGATTCTTAAAACTATGTATTTTTGAATGCGTGATTCCCATAACAGTTTTTTTTTGTAAATATTCTAACAGACTTGGTGTTTTTTTTTTATAAACAGACCAGAAATGTCGATTTTTTTTATTTGAATCTGGTGATAAATAAAAATTACGGTTATATTTCACTCAAATTTGAAACTACAAATTTTGAACATCTCTTGTCGCGATTAATTACGGAATTTGTTAAATTTTTAACGAATTCAGCAGGCACTTTTTAAAGGAAAATAATTAATAATAGTTTAAGTTTACAAATCTAATTATTTTTTTTTTCGTTATTCTGTTAAGCGCCAATTTCATTTCTTACTTTCTTTAAAAAATAAACAGGTCTCCATTAAATTCAGCGTTATTTCGAAAAAGTTAACTTTAGTGTACTTCTAAGTCATTTTTTAAGTCCAAATTCCACTGAGAGATTCTTGTTATTTTGCGGTGAATATTTAAAAAAAATTACAACTTCAATATTTTCAGACTTTGAAACTATTTTCAGAGTTTAAAAATACATCGTTCTCTTAAGAAAATTGCTAAGAAAGTCCTAATAGCAGCTAAATTTATTTCGTAATTTATTTCAAGAATACAAAAGACTCCAATTAAGAGAAATAATTTTTTTAATTTTATAATGGTGCGACAATTATTTTTTCGAAATTTTTGAGGACACAGTTTACAAAATGGGAACGAATTCACTCCAAAGACAAAAAAGATTTCTCAGACCTCAATTTTTTTCAGGAAAAGGTGTGAAAAAAGAAGATTTTTAAAACTATGTATTTTTGAATGAGAGATTCCCATAACAGTTTTTTTTTGTAAATATTCTAACATACTTGGTGTTTTTTTTTTTTTTTGATAACCAGACCAGAAATGTCGATTTTTTTTTTGTTTTGAATGTGGTGATAAATAAAAATTACGATAATGTTTCACTCAATTTTGAAACTACAAATTTTGAACATCTCTTGTCGCGATTAATTACGGAATTTGTTAAATTTTTAACGAATTCAGCAGGCACTTTTTAAAGGAAAATAATTAATAATAGTTTAAGTTTACAAATCTTATTAATTTTTTTTTTTTTTTGTTATTCTGTTAAGAGCCAATTTCATTTCTTACTTTCTTTAAAAAATAAACAGGTCTCCATTAAATTCAGCGTTATTTCGAAAAAATTAACTTTAGTGTACTTCTAAGTCATTTTTTAAGTCCAAATTCCACTGAGAGATTCTTGTTATTTTGCGGTGAATATTTAAAAAAAATTACAACTTCAATATTTTCAGACTTTGAAACTATTTTCAGAGTTTAAAAATACATCGTTCTCTTAAGAAAATTGCTAAGAAAGTCCTAATAGCAGCCAAATTTATTTCGTAATTTATTTCAAGAATACAGAAGACTCCAATTAAGGGAAATATTTTTTTTAATTTTATAATGGTGCGACAATTATTTTTTCGAAATTTTTGAGGACACAGTTCACAAAATGGGAACGAATTCACTACAAAGACAAAAAAGATTTCTCAGACCTCAATTATTTTCAAGAAAAGGTGTGAAAAAAGAAGATTCTTAAAACTATGTATTTTTGAATGCGTGATTCCCATAACAGTTTTTTTTTGTAAATATTCTAACAGACTTGGTGTTTTTTTTTTATAAACAGACCAGAAATGTCGATTTTTTTTATTTGAATCTGGTGATAAATAAAAATTACGGTTATATTTCACTCAAATTTGAAACTACAAATTTTGAACATCTCTTGTCGCGATTAATTACGGAATTTGTTAAATTTTTAACGAATTCAGCAGGCACTTTTTAAAGGAAAATAATTAATAATAGTTTAAGTTTACAAATCTTATTATTTTTTTTTTTTTGTTATTCTGTTAAGAGCCAATTTCATTTCTTACTTTCTTTAAAAAATAAACAGGTCTCCATTAAATTCAGCGTTATTTCGAAAAAATTAACTTTAGTGTACTTCTAAGTCATTTTTTAAGTCCAAATTCCACTGAGAGATTCTTGTTATTTTGCAGTGAATATTTAAAAAAAATTACAACTTCAATATTTTCAGACTTTGAAACTATTTTCAGAGTTTAAAAATACATCGTTCTCTTAAGAAAATTGCTAAGAAAGTCCTAATAGCGGCTAAATTTATTTCGTAATTTATTTCAAGAATACAAAAGACTCCAATTAAGGGAAATAATTTTTTTAATTTTATAATGGTGCGACAATTATTTTTTCGAGATTTTTGAGGACACAGTTTACAAAATGGGAACGAATTCACTCCAAAGACAAAAAAGATTTCTCAGACCTCATTTTTTTCAAGAAAAGGTATGAAAAAAGAAGATTCTTAAAACTATGTATTTTTGAATGAGTGATTACCATAACAGTTTTTTTTTGTAAATATTCTAACAGACTTGGTGTTTTTTTTTTTATAAACAGACCAGAAATGTCGATTTTTTTAATTTGAATCTGGTGATAAATAAAAATTACGGTTATATTTCACTCAAATTTGAAACTACAAATTTTGAACATCTCTTGTCGCGATTAATTACGGAATTTGTTCAATTTTTAACGAATTCAGCAGGCACTTTTTAAAGGAAAATAATTAATAATAGTTTAAGTTTACAAATCTTATTAATTTTTTTTTTTTTTTTGTTATTCTGTTAAGAGCCAATTTCATTTCTTACTTTCTTTAAAAAATAAACAGGTCTCCATTAAATTCAGCGTTATTTCGAAAAAATTAACTTTAGTGTACTTCTAAGTCATTTTTTAAGTCCAAATTCCACTGAGAGATTCTTGTTATTTTGCGGTGAATATTTAAAAAAAAATACAACTTCAATATTTTCAGACTATGAAACTATTTTCAAAGTTTAAAAATACATCTTTCTCTTAAAAAAATTGCTAAAAATGTCCTGAATAGCAGCTATATTTATTTCGTAATTTATTTCAAGAATACAAAAGACTCCAATTAAAGGAAATAATTTTTTAAATTTTATAATGGTGCGACAATTATTTTTTCAAAATTTTTGAGGACACAGTTCACAAAATGGGAACGAATTCACTACAAAGACAAAAAAATTCTCAGACCTCAATTTTTTTCAGGAAAAGGTGTGAAAAAAGAAGATTCTTAAAACTATGTATTTTTGAATGAGAGATTCCCATAACAGTTTTTTTTTGTAAATATTCTAACATACTTGGTGTTTTTTTTTTTTTTTGATAACCAGACCAGAAATGTCGATTTTTTTTTTGTTTTGAATGTGGTGATAAATAAAAATTACGATAATGTTTCACTCAATTTTGAAACTACAAATTTTGAACATCTCTTGTCGCGTTTAATTACGGAATTTGTTAAATTTTTAACGAATTCAGCAGGCACTTTTTAAAGGAAAGTAATTAATAATAATTTAAGTTTACAAATCTAATTATTTTTTTTTTCGTTATTCTGTTAAGAGCCAATTTCATTTGTTACTTTCTTTAAAAAATAAACAGGTCTCCATTAAATTCAGCGTAATTTCTAAAAAAATAACTTTAGTGAACTTCTAAGTCATTTTCTAAGTCCAAATTCCACTGAAAAATGTTTGTTATATCCATTATCCAATGATTTTTTTTTATTTTAAATTCAAAATTTTCTAAAATATCACAACATTAATAATTTAAGATTATCCAATTTAATTTTTTTCGTGATCCTGATAACAGTCAGTTTCATTTCCTATTTTGTTTCAAGAATAAACGGACTCCATTAAGTTGAGCATAATTTCTAAAAAATTACGACTTTACTAGATTTTGTTTTTTTTTTTTTTTGATGTGGTGATAAATAAAAATTTCGGTAATATCTCACTGACTTTTAAAATCATAAAATTTTAAAATCTCTTTTTCCTATCACGGAATTAAATACATTTTTTAATGAATTTAGAACTCAAAAATTATGTTTTATTTCATTAAGTGCCATTTGTTTTTGAAGAAAGAAAAAAAATTCCTAATCCCAATGAGATTTTTATTATTTTATGTTCGAAAATTTAATAGAGTAAGATTATAGGTAAAGCTATTTTATTTTTTTTATGATCCGGATAACACCCAATTTCATTTCCAACATAACTTAAAAAATTATCAATAAAAAAATATGTTTCCCTTTATTTACAGAGCGAACAAGTCTCCATTAAATTTAGTTTTTTTTGCATGTTTTCTCTCAAGCCAAAATTAGTCCTTTGATTTTGAATTTTGGTATTATTTCAGGATGAAAAAAGAAAATATTTTTAAAAAGTGGACCTTTAAATTGTCCTTTTTTATTGAGTACTTGAAAACGTAAAAGTGCGTCAATCTCTGCAGACAGATTAGATTATCATATCTTAACGTACATCGTTTTAAAAACATTAATGCAATGAAGTCCTTAAAATTTTACAAACAGATTGATAAACATTACACACAGATTTCAAAAAAGTCTTATCTTACCTACTTAAATTTAAATTTGGCTTATTTTAAAGACTACGTCGCTGTACAATACACAGTTTTATAGTTTTAGATATTAGGATATTACCACTAAAATAAATAAAACATTGAATGGAAATATTATAATATCACAAATACTTCCACGGGGGGCTCTCAACTCAAGATAGTGTTATCAGCAAACATTTCCGTGGCTTTGTTAGAAATCGAGACCATAAAAAATTAATAAAAAAATAATTTTAGTAGCCCTTATGTGAATTTATTTTAAAATATTCCAATAGTTATAAACATCGAAACTTATAATATAAAAATAACTGTTGTATAAAATAATCAAATACAAAAATTACTTACCATCTTCTCTCAACTACACAACCGCGACACAAAGTTACTCTACAACAAAATTCAGTCTAACGTCCCGCAGAAAAATACACTCTCGTGGCAGCTTTACGACAATTTATTTAAAACTTAGCATTGAAAATTGTTTTATTGACGTGATCTTTAACCCTATTCTCTTATCACTGGTAATTATTAATTATTTGGAAAGTGGGTACTTCATACGATATCAATTATTGCGAATGATCTCAGCAGCCACCAGTCGGTCTTACAAAAACCGCATTAATACCGGTTTTTGTCAACTATTTATTTAAACAAAGCCACATAATGGTGTTTTATTGTTTGAATAATATTTACGAATAGAAGGTCATTAATTGTTTTGTGTTAAAAAAATGTGTTGGTTCGGTTTTAGAGCAAAACTGCTGGATTTATTCGTGACGTTGATTTTTTATTTTTATTTTGGACTTTTTGTTGTGTTTAATAACGCGTTTCGCAACTTTGTTGCTAAACAAACCGAGTAAACATATTTTCCTGTGCTTTTAACCCATTTTGTTCATTTATTGGGGGTCCGCCGTATCTGTAAGAGATAGCGGATGACTCTCTGACCTTTACAACAATGTGGTTTTTTCGTATATTGAAATGATGACGTAGCGCGGGTTATCTGTAGGCAAGCAGTTAACTTTGACTTTGACAATTAAAGTCCACTGAAATCGTGTTTCAGGGATTAATGTTTCCAAAGATTTTTTAAGGAAGTGTTACTTGTTTGTTTTGTAACAAGAGATAAACTTTGTTTTGTAAATTACAACACCAAAATTAAAATTTATTAAAGTTTTATTCAATTTTTTAAAAAATAAAATGAAAAACAGTACACTAAAATAACAAACTTATTATAACTAATTTAGGCAATTCACAAAATTTAGTTCCATATCAACAATTACACTATTTCGCGCATTTTCACGAAGCACTTCATACATCTAAAACTAGAATCAAGTGCCAGGAACATTCATACTGGTAGATCCATCACATATTAAAAATACTTATCGATTTTTAAAATTATAAATACAATGAAACAATAAATAGAAAATAATTGCAAGAGTGCTAAACGTTGTACAGAAAAATTGCTCAGTACGTAGTTGTGCTTGAAAAATATTTTTCCTAATAAACAAAGCGACAAATCGTCACTTATAAGCCGTCCATTTCCATAACTGTGCTTTATACAGCGACATCTGCTGGTGGGGAGCGGAATATGACATCACGTGACTAGAACAAGCGAGTGCACGCAGACGTGACATGGCGTTACGAAAACGAACGACCTCTATACAATTCACCATTTAGTTGAGAGCCAGCAACTGAACAATTTCAATAAATAAATAAACTGCACGACCGAACATCTTGTTCTTGGTTCCTGCGCAACTAACCCTTAACTCTAATACTCATTCACTATAACTATCAATCCGTAAACAGTTTAACGATGTCTTGGATGGCCGATTTCGAGCCGAAGATCAAGGCCAGGAACCCGGTGAAGACGATGATGACGTTCTTGATGATCTTCCAGTAGCAGAAGCCGTAGCCTTTGCCCCAGAAGGTGAGGATTTCGATGAAGACGGGGCACATGAGGCCGAGGATGGAGAAGCAGAAGGCGCCGATGAGCCCCACGAAGGGCACGATGGTGGGGACGGCCACGGCGATCAACACGCTTAAGCTCACGAGGACGGAGCGCATGACGTAGTTGGCCAGGGTCTCGCGCTTGACGAATTTGTCCTTGATTTGGCTCCAGGCGATGTCCAGGCAGACGTAGAACTGGAGGCCGTAGGTGCAGAAGACGGCGATGGCCACCAGGATGTTGACGGCTTGGGCGGCACTGGAAAATTATGTAAAATTAGTGATAGGCAACCAACATTACACCATTGGCAATTGACAAGTTTGAATTGGGCGCCATTTGCTGCCTTAAACGCAACCACAGTTCTATTTTTAAATGCTTTGTATTTTTGCTCGGTAAAAATGATAAATGCTAAATTATATATGTAATAAATGCTCAGTTAAAAAATAAATTCTCAGTAAAAATAATATATGCTTGGTGAAATAATAGCTGCTTATTTAAATTAATAACTGTTCGGTTAAATAAGGAATTCTTAGTAAGAATACTACGTGCGAAGTATAAAAATTGGTCGAAGGTTATTTCGACAGAACTTCCCTCGCCCGTCAAGTGCAGCACAACAAATAATACTCCCGCAGAAGGCGCAAATTGAAAAATGAAATATACTTAAAATAGACAACAAATCGGAAAAATCGAAAAATCAAAAACTTTAAAAATCGAAAAATCATAACACCCAAAAATCGAAACATTAAAAAATCAAAAAAATAAAATATCTAAAATTTGAAAATCCAGAAATTAAAAAGTTCTCAATATTCAAATCCTGAAAAATTGAGTATTGAAAACTTGAAAAATTGAGAAATCCAAGCATCAAAAAATGATAAAATCGAAAAATGTAAAATTTAAAAAATCCAAAAATTGAGAAATAAAAGAAAAGAAAAATAAAAATTTAAAAATTCGAAAAATTGAAAAATTAAAATTTCGAAAAATTGAAGAATTGGGAAATCGAAACACCAAAAAAATCAAAAAAACAAAAATCTAAAATTCAAAAATCAAAAAATTGAACACTCGAAAAGCCAAAAAGTCGAAAAATCGAAACATCGGAATGTTCAAAAACTAAAACATCGAGAAATCAAATTAGACCAAACTTGAAAAATCGGAAAGTTAATAATTGAAAAATTGAAACATTTTAATTCAAAAAAATCGGTAAACCGAAAAATTGAAATATCTAAAAATCGAGAAATTGTACAATCTAAAAATTAAACAATTTAAAAATCGAAGAATTAGAAAACCAAAAAATCTAAACCGAGAACTTGAAAAATCGAATAATCGACAAATCAAAACATCAAGGAAAACAAAAAAATTAACGGAAAATCTAGAACTAAATCTAGAACGAAAATTTAAAAATGTTCTTTTTGACAATATTAATGTTAAATTTGATAACATAAAACTACCAGTTTTACATACTGTAAGAAATTTGGGATTGGTGATTGATGACGATTTTCGTTTTAAGACCCATATTTCTAACATTATTAAAAAATCTTATGTAGCATTGAAACTTCTTTATTCAAATTACCTTTTACTCAATTTTAAATTGAGGAAGAAATTATGTGAGTCTCTTGTCTTGTCATATATAAATTATTGCCTAGTAATATATTACCCATGTCTTGACAGTATTGATAAATACCGTCTTCAAAAAATCCAAAATAATTGTTGTCGTTTCATTTTTGGTTTGAGGAAATTTGATCATGTGTCTCAGAAAATTTGTGAGCTTGGTTGGATGAAAATTGACAAATTGTTTCAGTATCACCTATCTATCTTTGCTTTCAAGTTATTTTGCTCTAACTCTCCGCCGTACTTGCGTTGTAAATTTCATACAAGAAAAAGTATGTTAAACTCAAGTCTTCCATTAAGGAATCTTAAAGAACTGTCAATGCCAAAGCATTATACATCTATCTTTTAGAGATCTTTCACGTACAATATTATCAAAGTTTACAATAAATTTTTATTAGAGTTTAATTCAAGTTCTTCCATCAATTGTTTTAGGAAAAAAATTAAAAAATGCTTGATTAATACTTAGGTTTAAGTTTATTATTTTGGTTCTCTTGCTTGTTGTTAACTTTTTGTTATTATTATTATTATTATTTGTATAAATTTAGTTTATAATTATGGATTATTTAATTTAATTTATTTTAATGTAATTTAATTTAGAGTTAATTAGTTTAAATTATTTAATTTGATCATTACATAGCTGACTCCTGTCTAGATATTTAATCCGTTTTTCTGTACAAACTGTTTGGTTAGTTTTATTTTCTTGTAAATCTAAGGTTAAGTGGAATAGCCTATGGCTAGACTTCGCCTATTATTATTTAATAAAGTCCTATTATTATTGTTATTATTATTAATATTATTATAACTTGAAAATTGAAAAATTAAAATACCTATCGAAAAATTGAAAAACCGAGAAATCGAAACATCAAAAAATGGAAAAACTGAAGAACCGAAACATTGCAAAATCCCAGAACTGAAATACTGAAAAACTGAAAAATGAAAGGTAAATTGAAACATCGAAAAAGTGAAAAAATTCAAAAATGAAATCTTGAAAAACTGAAAAATGGAAAGAAAATTGAAGAATCGGAAAAGTGAAAAAATCCAAAACTGAAACATTGAAAAATTCAGAAATCGAAAAATTGAACAATCCCAACAGTAATATGTCGAAAAATTGGGAAATCGAAATCGAGCTAAACTGAAGTATCGTAAAGTTAATAAATTGAAAAACTGAAAATTTTTGAAGAAAAAATCGTATCAGAAAATAAAAATTCAAAAAATCGAGAAATTGAACAATCAAAAATTCAAAACATTGAAATCCCAGTAAGTTGATAAATAGGAAAAATTAAAAAACAAAAAATTTAAAAATCCAAGAATTGAACAACAAAAAAAAATCCAAGCCTGAAAACTCAGAAAATCGAATGATCGAGAACTCGAAACATCCAAGAAAACAAAAAATCTAAAATTTAAAAATTCGACAAATTGAAAAATCATGGAACTGGTGAGAAGTCTAAAAACCTAAAATTTTAAAACTGAAAAACTAAAATATCGAAATATTTAAAAACCGAGAAAACACAATATTAAAAATTTGAAAAATTGAAGAAACGAAATATTGCAAAATTCCAAAGCTGAAATATTGAAAAACCTAAAAATGGAATGAAAATTAAAGTATCGAAACAGTGAAAAAATCCCAAACTGAAACATTGAAAAATTGAGAAATGGAGAAATAGGAAAATAAAAAAAATTGGTCTAAAGAGTTTAGACAGTACTTCCCCGCTATCGGAAACGTGACGACTGCATGCCTATTATGTTTTTTTTTCACATTAGATTTCAAAGCATTCGGTTTTGTACTTCCTGATTAAATCAATAAAATAAATTTGCGCATTCATTAAATTTTTTGAGTCACCCTGTATATCCGAATCCAAAAAATATGAATGGAATGATAAATTACAAGAAGAGACTCATCATATTTTCTACATTTTAAATAGAATTATTCGGCAAACTTTTCAGCTGACGTCATCAATTTTTTGGATAAGCAAATATATTTTGACTAAAAATTTATTATGCTCTTTATGACCTTAAAATATTTGCAAAATTTCAAAGCATTGGGTTCTGTAGTTCCTGATTAAATCAATAAAATAAATTTACGCATTCATTAACTTTTGGGGTCATCCTGTATATGCAAATCCAAAAAACATGAATGGAATGATAAATCACAAGAAGAGACTAATCATATTTGATACAATTTAGATTTATTCAGGAAAATTTTGGGGTGGCGTCATCCATTTGTTAAGAGGGATGAGCAAATATATTTTGATTAAAAATTTACCATGCTTATGATAAATTTAAAACATTGCCAAGATTTTAAAGCATTCGGTTTTGTAGTTCCTGATTAAATTAATAAAATCAATTCACACATTCATTAAATTTTTTGAGTCACCCTATATATCCGAATCCAAAAAATATGAATGGGATGATAAATTACAAGAAGATACTCATCATATTTTGTACATTTTAGACAGGATTTATTCAGCAAAAATTTTGAGGTGACGTCATCAATTTTTTAGAGGGGATAAGTAAATATATTGTGATAAAAACGGTTCTGGTTTAATAACAAAAAAATATTGTTTGTCTATGCTGCTAGTCCAGACAGGGTTCTAGAGGATAGGAGTGCATTAGTCGAAATTAAATGCCCTTCAAAATCGCAAGATTTGTCCCCCGAAGAAGCGGTTAGAAAAAGAATAATCAAATTTTGTATATTGACAGACAGAGAATTGAAACTAAAAAAAAAATCATGATTACTACTTTCAAGTGCAGGGACAAATGCTTGTTACGGGTATTTCACAAGTTTATTTTGTTGTGTGGACACCCAAAGGAATAAATATAGAATAAATTTATAAAGACGAAGAAATATGTAAAAAGATGGCAGATAAACTTGGCAGATTTTACTTTGGCGCATTATTGCCTGAAATAATTGATTCAAGAAGAAAGAGTAACCTGCCTTTGCGAGAGATTTTTTTAAAATAAATAAAATTTGTTTCTATTTTTTTATGTACTTTAATAATTTATTAGGAGTACATTTTTCATCACCAAGACTTGCACATTTTTATTATAAATATATTTTGAAAATGATCTCTCGGCAAATGAAAACATATACGCGCATTTTTTTCGAGTAAACAATGAAGGGAGAAGTTACTGGGCGTAGGGCTTTTTTAAAACACCTCCTCTCTGGGATAAGTAGTAGATTATACACTTAGCTACTTATACGTGTTAAACAAAAGCTGTATTTTATATATTTTTTATTATTATTATAAATATGTTTATTAGTTTTATTAATTAACAAAGCAAAATATATATTAACAATAATATTACAATGAATTTTTAGTAATCATGTGTATTGAATTCAGGATCCCGAGTGGAGTAAAAATATTATAGTTCCCCAGTTTTAATTTGGTTTTATGATAGTACCTCATTGCGTAAAAGTTAAATTCCTTAACAATAAATTACTACGGCCGGTCCTGGCGGCTTGTTATAAAACTGAGTTCCTCGCCATAAATTAGAAAAATCAGCCGAGAACGCTAACAATCAGCTTATGGTAGAGCAGGCGATAAGGGTTTTACCTGGAAAGTCGCTTCCGTAAATTTTAGTGGCGCTCCTATCGGCAAAGTACTGAACTAACGGCTCAAATTCTGTCGAATTGATACCCATTTTTTTCAATAATTGTTAGTTTTTGTGAAAAACTCTGCTAGCCAATAGATCAGTAATTTTCCTATGATATTCCTGTTAAAATTATTCGACGTATTTTGCTTTAATTTGTAGTATATTTTGATTTTAATAAACACATTATTATTTAAACAAATTGTACCACTAACAAACATTTAATGACTCTGCGACCTGTAAAAAGTGATGCTTTGTCCATGTGCGAATTTTCAAGCGATTCTATGATGGTTATGACTCAAAAAACTTGAAAAGAAAACATACAATGGTCCTTTTTTTACGATATTTCTCAGCCATATTTTTTTAATTGATTGAACTGGTCTCTGCGCTCTAGAATATGAAAAAAGCTGCAGTTTGATGTATGATACATCTATATTAATATCATTTTTTCATACAAAAAAAACAAAAAAATGTTATACCTCGTCTAGCGAGTCCTCTTAAGTTCGCGTATTAAACCACAAAGTGAAAAATAGATGAAATCACAATCATAACCTAACTTTTTAAATCTCATATGTAGGCAACCAACAATCATACAAAGTGGTACTTACATTTCCCCTTTCGGTAGATTATAAGTAATGGACTCATCAGTGGCCTCTCCATACCTCAAATACCCAAAGAATCCCAGAACAATATATACAAGCGTAACGAAACTCATCCCCTGGTTAAGAACACCACAAAGTCCGACAAAACTACGCGGGGTGCTCATGTTGTTTTCCAGAGGCATCACCTACAACACCAAATTAACCACATAGTCTTCAACCAACTTCTCCAAACCAAAACTTACCACACCAATGGCTTCAATTGCGAAAATCACCACACTAATGCAAATCGGAAGAGTGCTAAGATCGTTGGCGACAGCCGGTCGTTCCGAAGGAGGAGGAACGTCCTTAACCAGATAGTAGAACGTGATACCCAGGCCCAGAGCCATGCAGACGTTGGCCACCATGGAGACCGGCGCCAGGTACTTCAAGTTGGGCACGAATGCCAGGAGAACGAGCGGTACCAGCAGCAGGGCAACCACGTATCTCACGTTGAAGGAATTTTCACCGTAATATTGATCCGTGACGTAGAGGATGTTTCTTGCTATTATAACTGTGTAGCAGCTGCAGGTGGCGAAGTAGGTAATGAAGATGCCCCATAACACGGTTTGCCTGTAATTGGAGTAAGTGGTTAAATGGTTGAGGTGGTGGTTCAAGAGTTCAAGTACCTTGCTATCCATCCGAACTTTTTCGCCCATTTCGGACCTCTTCGGCAGGCTTGTTCGGCCACTTCGGCGAAGCTCATGGAGGATTTGCCGGCTTTTTTGTATAATTCGTGTGCAGATGCTACCTGTAATTGAAAAAAAATGTTAATCTGGGGTCTGGAAGTGTTCGTAGGGCACTTTTAACACTATTTTGACGAAAACTTGTCTACAAATGGGTCATTCAATAAGAACTACTACTAGAAAAATTCTCTAGAATTAGAGGTTTTGTTTGATTTGAAAGCCAATTTTTTGTAAGTTCTCTGGGAATCTAAAATTTTTCGAAGTGTACACCAAGTCTCCGTTTGTTTTTAGCGAACTGTCTGCAAAATTCGTAATTTCTTAGTCATCCAAATTATGTTCTGCGAATGAATAATGTTGCAGTATTTTAGGAGTAATTAAGATTCCTATTCCCGTGCGATGCATCGATGAATAAAAACTACAAAAAATGTCTGATAAGGCGTCGGCGAGAATTTTTTGTTTATTCTTCGTGTTACGCAAACGAGTTCAGTCTCCGTTTTGACATTGTTGGAGCGTGTGCGGTCCGTAAATTTGTTTATTTAAGTGGTTTATTTTTGTTAAAATAATTTGGTTTCGGGCTTAAAGTGAAATGTGAGTGTTGTGGTGTGCCCATGAGGGAGGAGTCTGCAAGGGTCGGCGCGGAAGGAAAGGAATCAGGATTTTAAGGGTAAGTGTAGTTATTGTGTCTCATTTCTTCAGTTCTTTTATTCTAAATTGATATAAAAATACGGACGTTAAGGGATTACATACTTATTAAATCGTTACATGACGACTTAATAAGTATGTTTGTTTCTACAAGAACTCAAGTGTTAATAACTCGTCAGATATTTATTATTTAAAATTGGCCTTTTCGGCTGAAATAATTTGGAATATCTAGTAGTTATCAATGTTAATTATTTAAAAATTAAATCCAATTTTGATTTTCATCCCATTACGGACTGTCTTTACGTTTTACGCACCACTGCCATTATCGTTATTGTTTTTTTTTTTAATTCGTTTTTAGCTTTTAGTGTTTTATTTTTTATCAATTTGAAAAGGTCTTGAGTGCCGCAGTGTTTTTGTTGTTTTAATTCGAGAGACTCTTGGTCTATTATTTTGGGAGCTCATGGAGATTTTTTCTGTGAATTATTTAAAACAATTTTGGGGGACTTGAGTGTTCTATTTTTGCAAAATTCTGACCTGACCGGTTTTTGAGTTGATTTTGGAATCTCGTTTTTTTTTCTTGGAAAACTTAAAACAATCTTGAAGTTCTAGGTATTCCTGCTTGGAAAGACTTTGAAAGTGTCTTTTCTAATAATAATTTAATTAAATTTCTTAGAAGGATCTCATTTGCCAAAATCAGTTTTATCTTAACAGATACTAGCCCCGCCCACCCACCCTCTCTTTTCTTACAGGGTATGTCATTTGCCAAAATCGATCTTATTTTAGCAGCTACTAGCCCCGCCCTCTCGCCCTTTCTTTTCTTCGAGGGTATCTCATTTGCCAAAATTAGTCTTATCTTAGCAGCCCTCTAAGAAAATAAAGGACGGGCGGGTGGGGCTAGTAGTTGCCAAAATAAGACTGATTTTGGCAAATCACATATCCTCAAAGAAAAGAGAGGGTGGGCGGGCGGGGCTAGTACCTGCTAAGATATAACTGATTTTCGCAGATGACATATCATCTAAGAAACGAGAGGGTGGGTGGGCGGGGCTAGTACCTTCTGAGATAACACTGATATTGGCAAATGATATACCCTCTAACCTTCATTTTCTTAGAGGGTATGTCATTTGGCAAAATCATTCTTATCTTAGAAGTACCAGCCCCATCCACTCGACCTTCATTTTCTTAAAGAGTAGGTCATTTGCCAAGATCAGTCTTATCTTGGTAGCTACTAGCTCCACCCACTCACCCTCTCTTTTTTAGAGGGTATGTCATTTACCAAAATTAGTTTTATCGTGGCAGGTACTAGCCCCACCCACCCGCCCTCTCTTTTCTTAGAAGGTATGTCATCTGCCAAAGTCAGTCTTATCTGGGCAACTACTAGCCCCGCCCACCCACCCTCTCTTTTCTTAGAAGGTATCTCATCTGCCAAAGTCAGTCTTATCTGGGCAACTACTAGCCCCGCCCACCCACCCTCTCTTTTCTTAGAGGATATGTCATTTGCCAAAATTAGTCTTATCTTAGCAGGTACTAGCCCTCTAAGAAAATAAAGGGCGGGCAAATGGGGCTAGTACTTGCCAAAATAAGACTGATTTTGGCAAATCACATATCCTCTAAGAAACGAGAGGGTGGGTGGGCGGGGCTAGTACCTGCTGCGATAAGACTGATTTTGGCAAATGGTATATCCTCTACCCTTCATTTATTAGAGGATATGTCATTTGGCAAAATCAGTCTTATCCTAGAAGTACCAGCCCCATCCACTCGACCTTGATTTTCTTTACGTCATTTGCCAATATCAGTCTTATCTTGATAGCTATTAGCTCCACCCACTCACCCTCTCTTTTTTAGAGGGTATGTCATTTACCAAAATTAGTTTTATCGTGGCAGGGACTAGTAATCTCCCATCCGCCCTCTCTTTTCTTAGAAGGTATCTCATCTGCCAGTCAGTCTTATCTGGGCAACTACTACCCCCGCCCGCCCACCCTCTCTTTTCTTAGAAGGTATCTCATCTGTCAAAGTCAGTCTTATCTGGGCAACCACTATCCCCGCCCACCCACCCTCTCTTTTCTTAGAAGGTATCTCATTTGCCAAAGTCAGTCTTATCTGGGCAACTACTAGCCCCGCTCACCCACCCTCTCTTTTCTTAGAGGATATGTTATTTGCCAAAATTAGTCTTATCTTAGCAGGTACTAGCCCTCTTAGAAAATAAAGGGCGGGCAGATGGGGCTAGTACTTGCCAAAATAAGACTGATTTTGGCAAATCACATATCCTCTAAGAAAAGAGAGGGTGGGCGGGCGGGGCTAGTACCTGCTGAGATAAGACTGATATTGGCAAATAATATACCCTCTACCCTTTTCTTAGAGAATATGTCATTTGGCAAAATCAGTCTTATCTTAGAAGTACCAGCCCCATCCACTCGACCTTCATTTTCTTAGTGAGTATCTCATTTGCCAAAATCAGTCTTATCTGGGCAACTACTAGCCCCGCCCACTCACCCTCTCTTTTCTTAGAGGATATGTCATTTGCGAAAATCATTATTTTGGGAGCCCATGGAGATCTTTCTGTAAATTTTGGGGGACTTTGGGATCTTTTTTTTTCTTGGAAAAATTTAAGACAATCTTGAGGTTCTAGGTTATTCCAGTTTTTCAATTTTTCGATCTCATTTGCCAAAATCAGTTTTATCTTAGCAAATTCTTATGAGTAACTTTTACAAAAAATGATCAAAATTCAAATTTTCGACTTTTAGATCTTTTGACTTTTCCCATTTCTCGATTTTTTGACTTCTTGATTTTTCAATTTTTTGATTCTTAAATATTTCAATTTTCCAGGTTTTTGATTTGATAAATCTTTAATGTTTCGGTTTTTCGACTTGACGACTTTTTGATTTATCAATTTTTCGATATTTCGTTTTGACTTTTCGGCGTTTTAAATTTTAGATTTTTTGATTTTTTCCATTTCTCGATTTTTCGACTTCTCGATTTCTCGATTTTCCAGGTTTTTGAATTTCAAATTTTTTAAATTTTCGGTTTTTCGATTTCAGTTTTGAAATTTTTCAGTACGCATTTCAATTCTTCAATTCTTCGTATTGTGTTCAAATTCCTGTGTTTAATTATCTAATAGCGCCACCCACCCAGCCCCTCTTTTCTTAGAGGGTATCTCATTTGCTAATATAAGACCGATTTTGGCCCCACCCACCCTCCCTCTCTTTTCTAGAGGGTATGTCATTTGCCAAAATCAGTCTTATCTGGGCAACTACTAGACCCGCCCACCCACCTTCTCTTTTCCTAGAGGATGTCATTTGCGAAAATCAGTGTATTATTTTGGGAGCCCATAGAGATCTTTCTGTAAATTTTTGGGGGACTTTAGGATCTTTTTTTGAAAACTTAAGACAATCTTGAGGTTCTAGCTATTCCTGTTTGGAAAGAATTTGAAAGAGCTTTGGAGCGTATAGTCTTTTCTTGTAATAATTCTATTTTTTTAGAGAATATGTCATCTGCCAAAATCAGCCATAACAGGTACTAGACCCACCCACCCCCCTCTCTTTTCTTAGAGAGTATCCAATTTACCAAAATCGGTCTTTTTTTAGTAGATACTAGCCCCGCCCACCCGCCCTATATTTTCTTGGAAGGTATGTGATTTGCCAAAATCAGTCTTGTCTTAGCAGGTACTAGCTCCCCCCACCCCCACTCTTCTCATTCTAACGACTAATTTGATTTCTGTTAGTTAGTATAAGGTCATCCATTTCATTAAGACGGGCAAAATCAATCACTGAAATGGAGGCAGGGTGGGTGGGCGGGGCTAATCATGTTCTTCTATGGAGTGAGAGTGAAAACTAATAGAATCTAGGATGTGAAAAAAGAAAAAAAAGACGCTTAGCAACTTGTTATATTATTTGCTATCAAATTTATTTCTTATTTCGTGCATTTCACATGACGAAAGTGATTTCTTTTTTGAAATTGTAAAAATTGCCATATTTCAATTGGCGATACGTACTCTCTAAGAAAAGAGGGGGTGGGTGGGCGGGGCTAGAACCTGCTAAGATAAAACTGATATTGGCAAATGATATACCCTCTACCCTTTATTTTCTTGTAGGATATGTCATTGCCAAAATCAGTTTTATCTTAGCAAGTACTTATGACTAATTTTTACAAAAAATGATCAAAATTTAAATTTTAGTCTTTTAGACTTTTCGATCTTTTGATTTTTTCCATTTCTCGATTTTTTGACTTCTTGATTTCTGGATTTTTCAGTTTTTCGATTCTTCAATATTTCAATTTTCCAAGTTTTTGATTTTACAATTTTTTAATGTTTCGGTTTTTCGACTTGACGACTTTTCGATTTATCAATTTTTCGGTATTCAAGTTCTGAAATTTTTCAGTATGTATTTCGATTCTTCCACTTTTAGATATTTCATTTCGATTTTTCGTTTCAGTTTTTCGAATTTTCCATTTTTTTCAATTTCAATGTTTCAATTTCTTGATATGATATAGTCGGGTTTTTTAAATTTTAAATTTTTTTGATTTTTCGATTTTTTAATTTCTGGTGTTTCTGAATTTCCAACCTCTCAATTTCTCCATTTTTCAGTTTTTCAATTCATCAATTTTGCAATTTTTCAATTTTTGAACTTTGGATTTTTACAATTTTCGTTTTTCGATTATTTGACTTGACGATTTTTCGATTTCTAAATTAACCGATTTTTCGATTATTCAGCTTATCGACTTTTCGATTTATCAATTTTGCGATATTTCGTTTTGATTTTTCGGTGTTTATAAATTTTAGATTTTTTGATTTTTTTCATTTTTGGATTTTTCGACTTCTAGATTTCTCGATTTTCCAGGTTTTTGATTTTTAAATTTTCGGTTTTTCGATTTCAGTTTTGAAATTTTTCACTACGCATTTCAATTCTTCAATTCTTCGATTTTGTGTTCAAATTCCTGTGTTTCAATTTTTCGATTTTTTATCTTGGCTGCTAATAGCGCCACCCACCCAGGCCCTCTTTTCTTAGAAGATATCTCATTTGCCAATATTAGACCGATTTTGGCCCCGCCCACGCACCCTCACTTTTCTTAAAAGGTATGTCATTTGCCAAAATCAGTCTTATCTGGGAAACTACTAGCCCCGCCCACCCACCTTCTCTTTTCTTAGAGGATACATCATTTGCGAAAATCAGTGTGTTATTTTGGGAGCCCATGGAGATCTTTCTGTAAATTTTGGAGGACTTTAGGATCTTTTTTTTTTTAATTTAAGAGAATCTTGAGGTTCTAAGTATTCCTATTTGGAAAGAATTTGAAAGCGCTTTGGAGCGTATAGTCTTTTCTTGTAATAATTCTATTTTTTTAGAGAATATGTCATCTGCCAAAATCAGTCATAACAGGTACTAGATCCACCCACCTCCCCCTCTCTTTTCTTAGAGTGTACCCGATTTACCAAAATCGGTCTTTGTTTAGTAGATACTAGCCCCGCCCACCCGCCCTCTATTTTCTTGGAAGGTATGTGATTTGCCAAAATCTTCTCATTCTAACGACTAATTTGATCTCTGTTAGTTAGTATAAGGTCATCCATTTCATTCAGACGGGACAAAATCAATCACTGAAATGGAGGCAGGGTGGGTGGGCGGGGCTAATCATGTTCTTCTATGGAGCGAGAGTGAAAACTAATAGAATCTAGAATGTGAAAAAAGAAAAAAAAAAGACACTAGTAGCAAGAATTTTTTTAAAAAATTGTAAAAATTGCCCTCTAAGAAAAAAGAGTGTGGGTGGACGGGGCTAGTACTTGCTCGATTTTTTGACTTCTTGATTTCTGGATTTTTCAGTTTTTCGATTCTTTAATATTTCGATTTTCCAGGTTTTTGATTTTATAATTTTTTAATGTTTCGGTTTTTCGACTTGACAACTTTTCGATTTATCAATTTTTCGGTATTTCAGTTCTGAAATTTTTCAGTATGTATCTCGATTCTTCAACTTTTAGATATTTCGTTTCGGTTTTTCAATTTAAATGTTTATTCAATTTCTTGGTATTTTATTGTCAGGTTTTTTAAATTTTAGATTTTTTGATTCTTCGATTGTTTAATTTCTGGTGTTTCTGAATTTCCAACTTCTCGATTTCTCCATTTTTCAGTTTTTCGATTCTTCAATTTTGTGATTTTTCGAGTTTTTAAGTTTTTGAACTTTGGTTTTTTACAATTTTCGGTTTTTCGATTTCAATTTTGAAATTTTTCAGTATGTATTTCAATTCTTCAATTCTTCGATATTTTGTTTCAATTTTCTGTGTTTCAATTTTGATTTTGTTTTTGTTTATAATTTATGTCTTATTAATTTTTTTTTTGGTTTATTTATTAATGAAAAATAATAGTTTGTTTTATTAATAATAATACACAACGATTAATAAATACTGGTTATTATGGTTCCAAAAAAAGGTGGATTTCAGTCACCATCACGCATTAGGTGAGGCAGTGTTGCCAGTTTAACTTTTTAAAATTACGTTTTTTTCGTAATCTACATCATAAAGAATGTTTTTATTTCTATGGTATATTTCTGTGTGTACACAAAAATGACATGTGTTTTTTGTTGCAGTGGGTTCGTAAAAGAAGATGAGGGAACTCGCTAGATCGTAGCAGAAGAAGAAGCCTAAAGGTTAGAACTTTGTATTAATTTTAAATTGGGCGTTGTTATTTTTTAGCATCTTTTTAATCTTTTATAAAGGCTATTTTGATCGGTAACTTCTTCTTATTTTTGTTTTATCAAAAATTTTTTGACGTCTTTTAGTCACATATATATTTTATAATATACTTTATTTTTTATGCACTCCTTTCTTTATGTGCGTATATTCAAACAATTTTTTCCCCAAAAATATTTAAGTTTAAACTCCGTTTTGGAATTAATTTTCCAGAATTTACCTTTGTTACGTTCTTTTTTATTAGTTAATAAGTTAACTGAAGGAATTTTATTATCTATTTTTCCCCTCTCCTCCCTCAGTATTATTCTCTCGCCCTTGAAGTACAACAAAACATACCTAGCTTTTTCGAAAACTTTATCCATATTTACACTTTAAACATAACATAGTCCTATATTTGTGGTTTATGAGTCTGCCTTCATTTTTATCACAATTACTTTACACTTCTTTAGATTTCTCAGTTTTGAAACCAAAAAAAAAAAATGAATTGGCCAAAATTTTGTCCAACTTGGCAACAAACACAACATACGTATGACTAATCGCTCGTTGAATATAAACTACGCGTGCACTATTTACGATAACGTTTTGCCATGTTCATAGTTATTACAGATGACCTTTAAACAAAAAAAATTAAATACAATACAGCAGTTAATACGCGAACCTGTTTACAAGGTACGAAAGCAAATTCCCCTACACTGTATCCACCCAACAAATACTTACTAAAATATAGGCGCAGTGTGTGCATATGACCGAAACAGCGATGGTTGCGAATATTCCTAACACTAATCCTGACGCTTTAAATGCGGCGGGCATGGATAAAATTCCTGTACCTAACGAAGCTTTTAGAAGATGAGTCAAAGTATCACAGTTCCTGAAAAAACAAAAAAACACAAAGTTGTACAATCTCCACTGGCAAATTGTAACAGTTACTTACGTCACTGGGTGGTCGAGTACCCTGGCCTTGAACGGATCATAATCCACACTCGCCGCTTCTAAATCGTTGTCTTTTGTAACTTTGTACCTGAAAACACAGCGTTTTTATTGCTTTTTACTAAGTCAGCTTAATTGGATAATCAACTGGCGCCGGTCGCACTTACGTTGTCACGTTTCCGTTGATCGCCGACTCGTCCCTGGGGAGGAACGTTTCCATTTCGGTGGTGGTTCCATTGGGGATTTTGGTTGCCTGAAAATGGACGAACGGACTGTAGATTTCGAAGTACATGGTTTTTTCTTGCTAAATGAGACATTTGGGGTTTTATGAGGCGGTTTAAGAACGTTATAAAGTGCTCTCGTTATAATTATGTTTTTATTGAAATTTTATGTCTGTTGTCGTAACCGTGTGACGTAAGCAGGAGTAAATGTGGAATTAACGGTATGTCGGTCGTGCGTCTAAAAACAACTAAAATCTGCGACTTGCGATAGCATTGTGAATTTTAATGGAATCGATCATGAAATATTAATGGAGCGTTGTGTTGTGATGGCACCTAACAAAACTAACGTCAGAGTCGATAAGAAAAATTGATTATAATCATGGTGAAATAACGATTGGTACTTTCTAGTGGCCATGGAAGACATTTATTTAAATAGCAGCCACGACTCCTTGATTATTTTCAAAGGCGATATAAATACAGATGTAAAAATTCTCGAAATTTTTCTGATAAGTGGTCAAATCGAAATACCAATTTTCGTGTTTTCTTCCGAAATTCAAAATTTTGCACAAAGTGTACAAGTGTCCTATTTTAAAAATATAACAGATAATTCTGTCAATAAAAATATATATGTTTGTTGTAAAATAGAAAAAAAGTCGTCTAGTAAACCATGAAATTTATTTTTAAGATAATGAAGTTGGCAGTGCAGTTAATAAAATTTAAGTACTTTTTAAAAAACAGGTTTCATAATTTCAAAGCGATAACCTAATCTCCAATATTATTTTGGTTCATTGAGATATCTGTACACGAAATAAAATTTAAAAAACACGGAATAACTAATTTTTTTGAAAACAAAAATACTATCAAAGTTCTAATATTTGTTTATGACAGAAACAAGAAGGGGAACGAGAGATAAGATTCTGGAAAGCTGTAACCATGTGAAAAATGTGGAGAATATCAATCAAACTACGTCGTCGATGTATCTGATTTAAAATATTTCAGTAAAAAATATCATAAAATAGATATCTAATACTATATGATTGAAAAAGATGGCGTCTAGTATTCTATGAAATTTATTTGATTTGAAATTGAAAACTCGAAAAATCGAAGACAAAAAAATTTTTAAAATCGAAAAACTGGAACATCGAGAAATCGAAAAGTTGGAATATTTAAAAATACAAAATCGGGAAATCGAAACATCAAAAACCCGTAATATTGAAACATCGAAAAATGTAAAATTTGAAAACTGAAAAATCTAAAACCGAAAAGCCCAAAAATTGGAAAACATCAAAAAATCAAAAAATACAAAAATGGAAAAAGTAAAAAATCGAGAAATCGGAAAAGTATAATCGAAGAATTGGAAAATGCCAAAACTTCTCCGATTTTTCGTTTCAAGTTCTCGATTTTTTAAATTTTGGATTTTTCAATTTTTCAATTCTTCGATTTTTTTTGTCTTCCGATTTCTCGACTTTTTCGATGTTTCGATTTCCTGATTTTTCATTTTTCCAATTTTTCAAATTGTCAGGTTTTCGATTTTTCAATTATTCGATTATTCAAATTTTGGATTTCTTGATTTTTCGATTTATCAGTTTGCTTTGATTTTCAATTCCTTTATAGATCGAGTTATCCATTTTTCGATTCCTCAGTTTTTCAATTTTTGGACTTCTCAGATTTTTCATTGCAATTTCCCGATTTTTTTGAAATTTTATATTTTTCGATTATACAAATTTTAGGTTTCTTGATTTTTAGATCTTTTGATTTTCCAAATTTTCGATTTTTCGACTTTTCGATGTTTCGATTTCTCGGCTTTTTGATTTCCTGATGATTTATTTTTTTCATTCTTCCATTTTTTAATTTTTCATTTTGAAGTTTTCGATTATTCAAATTATGGATTTGTTGATTTTTCGATTTATCAATTTTCTTTAATTTTCAATTCCTTTATAGATAGAGTTAGCAATTTTTCAATATTTCAATTCCTCAGTTTTTCAATTTTTGGACTTCTCAGATTTTTCATTTCAATTTCTCGATTTTTTTAAATTTTATATTTTTCGATTATACAAATTTTGGATTTCTTAATTTTTCGATCTTTTGATTTTCCAAATTTTCGATTTCTCGGCTTTTTGATTTCCTGATGTTTTATTTTTTTATTTCTTCCATTTTTTAATTTTCCAGGTTTTTAATTTTTCAATTTTTCGATTCATATTTTTGGTTTCTTGATTTTTAGATTTATCAATTTTCTTTAACTTTTCAATTCTTTTATAGATCGAGTTATAAATGTTTCCATATTTCGATTCTTCAGTTTTTCAATTTTTGGCCTTCTTCGATTTTTCGTTTCTATTTCTCGATTTTTTCAATTTTAGGCTTTTCGATTTTTCAATTTTTCGTTTAAGTATACAAATTTTGGATTTCTTGATTTGTCGATTTTTTGATTTTCCGATCTCCCGACTTTTTCGATGCTTCGATGTCTTGGGTTTTCGATTTCCTGATTTTTCATTTTTCCAATTTTTCAAATTGTCAGGTTTTTGATGATTCAATTATTCGATTATTCAAATTTTGGATTTTTCCGATTTTTCATTTCAATTTCTCGATTTTTTAATTTTAGGTTTTTTGGTCCTCCAATTTCTCGATTTCTCGGCTTTTTCATTTCCTCATTTTTCATTTTTTCAATTCTTCCATTTTTTAATCTTCAATTTTTCGATTATTCAAATTTTGGATTTCTTGATTTTTCGATTTATCAATTTTCTTTGATTTTCAATTCCTTTACAGACCGAGTTATCAATTTTTCAATATTTCGATTCCTCAGTTTTTCAATTTTTGGAGTTCTCAGATTTTTCATTTCAAATTCTCAATTTTTTAAATTTTATATTTTTCGATTATACAAATTTTGGATTTCTTGATTTTTCGATCTTCTGATTTTCAAAATTTTCGATTTCTCGACTTTTCGATGTTTCGATTTCTCGGCTTTTTGATTTCCTGATGTTTCATTTTTTTGATTCTTCCATTTTTTAATTTTTCGATTCATATTTTTGGTTTCTTGATTTTTCGATTTATCCATTTTCTTTGACTTTTCAATTCTTTCATAGATCGAGTTATCAATTTTTCAATATTTCGATTCTTCAGTTTTTCAATTTTTGGCCTTCGATTTTTCGTTTCTATTTCTCGATTTTTTAAATTTTAGACTTTTCGATTTTTTAAATTTTAGACTTTTCGATTTTTCAATTTTTCGTTTAAGTATACAAATTTTGGATTTGTTGATTTCTTTTTGATTTTCCGATTTCCCGACTTTTCGATTTTCTCGGCTTTGCGATTTTTGGATTTTTCATCTTTTTCTGAAATCGGAAAATCAAAACAAAAAAAGCCAAAAACCAAAAAAATCCAAGATTTGATTAATCGAAAAGTTGAAAAATAGAAAAATCCCAAAATTAAAAAAAAATTGAGAACTTGAAACGAAAAATCGGAGAAGTCCAAAAATTGAAAAAACTGAACAATCGAAAATTGAAAAATTGGTAACTCGAGATATAAATAAAAGAATTGAAAAATCGAAAATTGATAAATCGAAAAATTAAAAAATCCCAAAATTGGAACATCAAACAACTGAAAAATCGAAAAATCTAAAAAGAAAAATTTGAAACTTAAAAACAATGAAAAAACCGTGAAATCGAAAATTTAGAAACGCCAAAAATTGAAAAATCGAAAAATTGAATCGAATATTTAATTGAAAAATCGTAAAACACGAATATTGGAAAATTTAGAATTTTAAGAATAAAAAAAATTCGAAAAATCCAAAATGTAAATAATGGGAAAGTAAAAAATCGAGAAAGTGAAACAAAAAATCGGAGAAGTCTAAAAATTGAAAAACTGAGGAATCAAAATACTGAAAAATTGATAACTCGATATAAAGAAGAACTGAAAATTCGAAAAAATTCAATAAATTGAGAAATTGAAAAGTCGAAAAAATCCAAAAATCGAAAATTTAAATCATCAAAAATCTGAATAATCGAAAAACTGAAGACCTGAAATACTGAAAAATCAAGAACATATCGAAAAGTCCAAAAATTGAGAAATGGGAAAATAAAAAAATTGAAGAATTGAAATACTGAAAAATCAAGAAATCGAGAAACCGAAACATCGAAAAGTGGAGAAATCGAGAAATGGGAAAATAAAAAAATCGGAGAGTCGAAAATTTTGAAACGTCAAAAAGTGAAAAATCGAAAAGTTGAATTCGAATAATTCCAAAACCGTGAAACTGGATTACTTATCGGAAAATTTAGAATTTTAAAAATTAAAAAAAATCCAAAATTTAAAAAATCGTGAAAGTAAAAATCGAAAAATTGCAACGAAAAACCGGAAAATTTCAAAAATTGAAAAATCAAAATACTGAAAAATTGATAACTGGATATATAGAAGAACTGAAAATTCGAAGAAGTTTAATAAATTGAGAAAACTGCAAAACTGAAAAGTCGAAAAAAATCAAAAATCGAAAATTTATAACATCAAAAAAACCGAAAATCAAAAATCTGAAAAATCGAAAAACTGAACAATTGAAATACTGAAAAAATTCGAGAAACCGAAATATCGAAAAGTCAATAAATCGAGAAATGGAAAATCAAAATAGTAAAGTCCAAAAACCGAAAAATCGAAAATTTAGAAACGCCAAAAATAAAAAATCAAAAAATTGAAACAAAAATCGGAGAAGTCCAAAATTTACAAAATTAAAGAACGAAATATTAAAAATTGATAACTCGATATACCTACAGAAGAATTAAAAAATCGAAGAAAATTGATAAATCGGAAAATCGCAAAACTGAAACATCGAAAAACCGAAAATTTTAAATATCGAAAAATTGCAAAATTAAAAACTTGAAAAATCGAAATCCTGAAGAATTGAAATACTGAAAAATATAGAAATCGAGAAACCAAAAAATCAATGTGGAGAAATTGTGAAATGGGAAAATATAAAAACCGGAAAATCGAAAATTTAAAACTTCAAAAAATTGAAAATTAAAAACCTGAAAAATTGGAAAACTGAAGAATTGACATACGGATAAATCAAGAAACCTATGAAGTCGAGAAGCCGAAACATCGAAAAATCGAGAAATTGAGAAATGGGAAAATCAAAAAATCGGAAAGTCGAAAAATCGGGAAGTCTAAAATTTAGAAACGCCAAAAATTGAAAAATCGTGAAATCTAAAATTTAGAAACGCCAAAAATTGAAAAATCGAAAAATTTAAAATTGCAAAACTGGATTATCGGAAAATTTAGTAAGAAGAAAAAAAATGGAAAAATCCAATATTCGGAAAATTAAAAAATCGAGAGACTGAAACAAAAAATCGGAGACGTCGAAAAATTGAAAAACTGAAGAATCGAAATGCTGAAAAATTGATAACTGGATATAGAGAACTGGAAATTCGAAGAAATTTAATAAATCGAAAAACCACAAAACCGAAAAAACGAAAATTTAAAACATCAAAAAATTGAAAATTAAAAACCTGAAAAACCGAAAAACTGAAGAATTGAAATACATACTGAAAAATCGAGAAATCGAGGGTCGAGAAACCAAAATATCGAAAATTGAGAAATGGGAAAACAAAAAAATCGGAAAGTCCAAAAATCGTTAAATCGAAAATTTAGAAACGCCAAAAATTAAAAAATCGAAATATTGAATCGAATAATTGAAAAAGCGTAAAACTGGAATATCGGAAAAGTAAAAAATCGAGAAACTGAAACAAAAATTGCTGAAGTCCAAAAATTGAAAAATTGAAGAATGCAATATTAAAAATTGATAACTCGATATATAGAATTGAAAATTCGAAGAAATTTAATAAACGGAAAAACCGCAAAACTGAAAAATCAAACAATCCAAAAATCGAAAATCTAAAGCAACAAAAAACTGAAAATCAAAAACCTAAAAATCGAAAAATTGAAGAATTGAAATATTGAAAAAAGTCGAGGACCCAAATATCGACAAATCGAGAAATGGGAAAATAAAAAAATCGGAAATTTAGAAACGTAAAAAAAAATGAAAAAATCGAAAAATTGAAACGAAAATCGCAGAAGTCCAAAAGTTGAAAAATTGAATAATGAAATATTTGAAATTGATAACTCGATATATAGAAGAATTAAAAAATCGAAGAAAATTGATAAATCAAAAAATCGCAAAACTGAAAAATACAAAAATAGAAAATTTTAAATATCGAAAAATTGAAAAATCAAAAAACCAGAAAAAATTGAAACACTGAACATCAAAGTGGAGAACTCGAGAAATGGGAAAATAAAAAACCGAAAAGTCGAAAATATAGAGACGCCAAAAATTGAAAAATTGAACCGAAAAATTAAAAAATTGTAAAATTGGAATAACGGAAGAGTTAAGATTTTAAAAATAAAAAAATCGAAAAATCCAAAATTTTGAAAATTCAGGAATTGAACATCAAAAAATCGAAAAATTGCAAAAACGAACAATCGAGAAATTTAAAAAATCGAAAAAGTAAAAATTGAAATATTTACAAGTTGTAAATGGAAAATTGAATCAAAAACCCCAGAACTGAAACTTCGTAAAATCGAGAAATCGAAAAGCCGAAAAACCACAAATTCGAAAAATTTTGAAATCGAAAAACTGTGATAAAAGTTTGCTTTTTTCATAAAATCTGGATGCCTAGGGTAAAAATGCAGACATATGTGATTCTATAAAATTTAAATACTATTGTAAAATTTGAAGATCCTGCCACATAAATGATAACCCTAACATTTATACAAAATTTGAGAAAAATCGTTCCTGTAACTGTATTAAAAATCACAAAAAGATAATACCAAATACCACAATGATATTGGTGTTGCATTAAATTTCAATGGTTTCTAGACACCTTTTTTTCAATCATGTATGACTTGAAGAATTATTCCACTTGAGAAAACTGAATAAAGCGGTATCACTTTTGAAAGTAGTAAAATTTTACGTTGTTTCTTTGTTATTTATAAAATTCTAGTTAAGATCATAAGTTGAAACTCAAACATTCCGAAAATAATTTTTAAAGCAAACGCTGAAAATTCAGTTTTATTTTATATATTCAAATCGTTTTTAAATACAAAAACTGTGCCATGCAAAAATGGTTAGTTGACACCGCTGCACTTTAACCTCAAAACACGTTGACAGGTTGTGACATTTCCGGACAGCGGTACCAACTACCGATAACGTGAGTGTTGCACTCAAATCCATCACTTTCGATCAATATCGCAATTGACTATTACACAACCTTCAAGGATATGTGCAGTGTTTTTCATAGATTAAAGATTAAAGATTGTCTTTATCTCGTTGTCGCTCGACTTCAAAAGCCCAAAATCAAAGTTTATTCTCCTAAAATGTTGTTACACGAATTAAACCAAAAAATACCAAACTCGACACGACTTCTTCATCTGTATTTATTTATTTATAAAATTTACATCCACTTCCACTAATCGCTCTTGTAAAACTTCCATCCGATCCCAAACTAAACACCCGCAGTCGTTAAAAAACACATGTCAAGATTCGCAGCCGTCGACGAAATTTGATCTACGTCTAGCGATAAACCACATTCTCACTTTAATAAAGTCAACCGAAGCACAATCGATTCAAGGTAAATCGCTAACTAGAACAGACGTGGAAATAATTCATGAGTCTCCAGCAACCCAGCGAACGATAAATAAATAAACCAAAAGAAAGCGCTTTATAATTCGTAAAAATAGAGACAAAGCTTCCTTGTACGTCCCGAGTTATTCACCTCGCGCTTTATTACAAAACAAACAAATTTCGGGTAATTGTTGCCCGATGAGTTCGTGCTCTTTTGAAATAACCGAGGATGTAAAACTCCGCCAAGTTTATTTACGCTCTTGTTGTAACAAATGGGTGCGAATTAAAAATATAAACAAAGTAAGCGCTAACTTACCATTTTGATTTGTGGATTAAAGTTACTTTCTGCTTTAGTCTCACTAATTGGGTTCCAATTTCTGAAAAAAAACAAAGATAATATTAGTAATTATGTGGTGCACTGACCAGCTTGATTATAATAATGAAAAGTTGTTGACTTTCTTAATGCGTTTACGTATAAATAGAGAAAATTTGGGTTAACTTGGCTAAAATTATAATTTGCAAGTTCACTCACTAACTGTCTAATTTTTAATTTTGTGGGTACTTTCGTCGGAATTCCATTCACAACTACCTCAAATTTGATAGCTCGAAGACAGTTCACAGGATGATAAACTTTGCCTTCTAACAATAATCACTGTGCTAAAAACGGTACGAATTAGCACATTGAGCAATTTATTTACGTATAATCAGATCAAAAGATGTGTTGTCATGTTGTTCTTGTGGAATTTTGACTAAGTAGTGACCGGACTAGGAGAAGTCTGGTGGGAGGTTGATTCGATAAATATTGATCTTTTTTGTACTTTGAACTTTGGGTTTTCGTAACTACGAACACAAAGAGATCAAGAAACGAGAAATCAACAAGTATCAGTTCGATTAATTGTAGCGCTTTGTTTTGGCCGACTTTTACCTGAGTCGGATCGTGCTGGAATTCTTTTCTTTGGGTCGGTGGGTAAAATGCGTAAAGCAGGTGGCTTTGGAAATGGGGGCAGAGGATTACGTGAAACATTCCAGAGCTTTGGGTGAATGCAAAAAATCCGTTATTTGTGGAATTATTTTTGAAATCTGAATTTTATTAAAATTTATTTATCCTCTGCAAGAACCGATGGCGTCATCAAATCGAATTAAATACTAAATATGAGTTAGTAGTTACAAAATAAATGTGTAAATGATTTATTTGCCGACTTATTCGGAGCGGTTTTTATATTTTTCCTAAAATTGTGGGAGGACAGTAATATTATTGATTAATGTTTCGGGCCCACGTCAACTTTAATCCACTTATCCCACCACAAAGCTGTTGACGTCATCACAAAAAGATAGACTTAAAGGCGGCATAAGAAGTTGATATATTTAGCTTCAGTTTTAGATTTAACGGCTGGAATTCTTAAATTGCGCAATTTTTAAACGCATTGATGAAAATTCTCAAAAGATTATATTTTTCACTAATCTAAATGAGGAATTTATTTTGAAAATTATGAACTTTCAAATAAAATAAAGAAGAATTTTTAAAATAAAATAAAAAGACAGGAACATCGTTACTTTTGAAAAATTTGAACAAACAAAAAAGTCAAGCCATTTCAAAAAAATTTTTGAAAGAGAACTACGAAATTTTTGAAAAAACCGTTATTTTGAAAAGTAAAACAAATAAAACAGACTTTTATGATTGTAGGAAACATATTTTTAGTTTTTTTTTATTTAGCAAGTCAAAAAAAAAACACGCGATTTCCAAAATAACTTGGCAGTTTTTGTTTTTTTTTAGCTTTTTTATCTAGTCGCAAGTTCTGAAACTCTTAGATTTAGGAATTTTTGAACAGAAAAAATTAATAAATATTTCCAAAAGAACGTCATCTATTAAATATATACATATAAATTTAAAATTCTTGAATTTTTGACATTTCCAAAAATTTTAATAAAAGTAAATAGTCAAGTAATTTGTTAAATGGACTCGACAACAAACTGTTTTCTCTGAAAAACCCACTATATTGCTGAATCTGAAACTTTTGTATTCTGAAATTTTGAAATAGAGCAATTTTGAAAATGTATTTTTTTCTGAAAAATACACATAAACAAAATTTTTACTTCCGCTTACAAACGATTCCCAAAATATCGTAACACTTTTTGTTTTTGAAGTTTAATGAACATTTTCAAAAGATAATCACTTTTTAATAATCTACATGTTCATTTTTAAAATTGTAGAATTTTTGACATTTGCCAAAATTTTGGTAAACATTAAAAAAACAAGTTCTTAAAAGACTGCAACTTTTATATTCTCAACTTTTTTAAATAGAACAGTTTTAACATTTTTGAAAAAAAATTTTTGGAAAAAAAAATAAGCGATTTCCAAAATAGCTCACCACTTTTTGTTTTTGAAGGTTTTTTTATCTAGTCACTAGTCACAAAATTTTTATTTTCAACTTAACAAAGTTTCCTGACTACAAGGAATATATCATTAGATTTTTTTAATATTTAATGACAAGTTAAAAAAGTCAACCGGTTTCCAAAATACTATAAGATTTTTACCTAATGGCAAGTTCAACTCTTAAAATTTTGGAACTTTTAAAAAGTGAATATTAAAGCACATTTTCATTTTTTTAATAATCTACAAGTTCCATTTTTCAGATTTAAAAAAAATTTTAAAAAATTTCTTAATAACTCGATAATTTTAATATTGGAAGAACTTGTGACATCGCTGAATCTGCAGTTGTTACATACCCAAATTTTTTAAATAGAACAGTTTCTACTTTCGGCTTCCAGACTTTCATGATAACAGGAAAGAAACTGGCGATTTCCAATATAACTTAGTACTTTTTGTTTTTGAAGCTTTTTTACCTAGTAGCAAGTTTAACTTTTAAAATTTTGAAACTTTTAAACAGAGACTATTAACGAACACTTTCAAAATCAATTTTCAATAATCTGCAAGTTTTATTTTTAAAATTATAGAATTTTTGACTTTTTCCAAAATAAAAAAAATGTTTCATAAATGATTTCTCGACTTCCCGGAAATTCGATGTTTTGATTTGTCGAATGCTCAGTTTTCCAATTTTTCGATTGATCAGTTTCGCGATTTGTCGATTTTAAAAAATTCTTATTTTAGTTTCGACTTTTTTAAATTTTTGATATTTAGATTTTTTTTTGGGATATTTTCAATTTTTGTTTGGTTTTCCGATTTTTTCAATTTTCGACTTTTCGATGTTTGAATTTTGACATTTTTGCAATTTTTCGATTCTTCAATTTTTCTTTGATTTTTCGAATACACAATTTATTGATTTATGATTTTTCCAATATTTCACTAAAGGAATTTTTCGACTTTTCGATTTTTCAATTTGACATTTTTGCAATTTTTCTATTCTTCAATTTTTCTTTGATTTTTTGAATACACAATTTATTGATTTATGATTTTTCCAATATTTCAGTTCAGGAATTTTTCGACTTTTCCATTTTTCGGTTCAATTTTCCCATTTCTTGATTTCTGAACCTTTCGTTGCCTCGATTCCCGATTTTTCAGTTTTTCAGTTCAATTTTTCGATTTTTCATTTTCGCGATTTGTCGAATTTAAAAGATTTTTATTTTAATTTCAATTTCTTGGTTTTTCGTTTTTTTTTTATTTTCCGGATTATTTATTTTTTAATTTTCCAATTGTTCGATGTTCTGATTGTGGGATTTTTAACTTTCTCGAATTTGCAATTTTTGGATTCATTAATTTTTCGATTATTTTAAAATTTACATTTTTCGATTTCTCGTTTTTTTGATTTTTAAAATTTTTCAACTTTCCGATGCCCAATTTTTCTATTTCTCAGGTTTTTGATTCCTCAATTTTTCGATCTTTTGGTGTTTCGACTTCTAAATTTTTCATTTTTCCAATTGTTGAATTGTTCGTTCGATTCTTCAAATTTTCGATTCGATTCTGCAATTTTTTGATTTTTAAATTTTTCGACTTTTCAATTTTTGGCGTTTCTGAATTTTTGATTTTCCGAGTTTTCAATTTTTGATTTTACCATTTCTCGATTTCCCGACTTTTCGTTTTTTCGATTTCTCGATTTTTCAGATTTTCAATTCAATTTTTTAATTTTTCAGGTTTTTGGTTTTTCAAGTATTCGAATTTTTAAAATTTTTGATATTTAGATTTTTTGGGATTTTTTCAATTTTTGTTTAATTTTCCGATTTTTTTCAATTTTGGACTTTTCGATATTTCAATTTTGACATTTTTGCAATTTTTCTATTCCTCAATTTTTCTTTAATTTTTCGAATACACAATTTATTGATTTACGATTTTTCCAATATTTCACTTCAGGAATTTTTCGACTTTTCGATTTTTCGTTTCAATTTTCCCATTTTTTGATTTCTGAACTTTTCGTTGTCTCGATTCTCGATTTTTCAGTTTTTCAGTTTAATTTTTCGATTTTTCAGTTTCGCGATTTGTCGATTTTAAAAAATTTTTATTTTAATTTCAATTTCTTGGTTTTTCGTTTTTTGACTTTCCGGATTTTCGATTTTTTAATTTTCCAATTGTTCGATGTTCTGATTGTGATTAACTTTCTCGAATTTGCAATTTTTGGATTCATTAATTTTTCGATTTTTTAAATTTTTCAACTTTCCGATGTCTCGATTTTTCAAGTTTTCTTATGCCCAATTTTTCCCCATTTCTCGATTTTTCAGATTTTCAATTCAATTTTTCTATTTCTCAGGTTTTTGCTTCCTCAGTTTTTGGATCTTTAGGTGTTTCGATTTATAAATTTTTCGATTCAGCAATTTTTGATTTTCCTATTTTTCAATTTTTTGATTTCACCATTCCCCGATTGCCCGACTTCGTTATTTCGATTTCTCGATTTTTCAGGTTTTTGGGTTTCAAGTATTCGACTTTTTTAAATTTTTGATATTTAGATTTTTTTGGATTTTTCAATTTTTTTCAGTTTTTCGATGTTTTCAATTTTCAAATTTTCGATGTTTCAGTTTTGACATTTTTGCAATTTTTCTATTCTTCAATGTTTCTTTGTTTTTTCGAATACACAATTTATTGATTTATGATTTTTCCAATATTTCACTTCAGGAATTTTTCGACTTTTCGATTTTTCGTTTCAATTTTCCCATTTCTTGATTTTTGAACTTTTCGTTGTCTCGACCATCGATTTTCCAGTTTTTCAATTCAATTTTTCGATTTTTCAGTTTCGCGATTTGTCGATTTTAAAAAATTTTGATTTTAATTTCAATTTCTTGGTTTTTCGTTTTTTTGACTTTACGGATTTTCGATTTTTTCATTTTGCAATTGTTCCATGTTCTGATTGTGGGATTTCTAACTTTCTCGAATTTGCAATTTTTGGATTCATTAATTTTTCGATTATTTTAAAATTTACATTTTTCGATGTGTCAAATGTTTGATTTTCCGATTTTTAATTTTCTATTACTTCATCTTTTCGAATTTTCGATCTCTCGATTTTTCAAGTTTTCATATGCCCAATTTTTCCCCATTTCTCGATTTGTCGAAGTTCCGATTTCCCGATTTTTCAGATTTTCAATTCAATTTTTCTATTTCTCAGGTTTTTGATTCCTCAGTTTTTCGATCTTTTGGTGTTTCGACTTATACATTTTCCATCTTTCCTTTTGTCGAATTGTTCGATTCTTCAATTTTTCGATCC